GTCCCCTCTGTATCCCCCCATCATTGGGAACAGGGGATTGCGGAGAAGATGGCCACAGTGGTGCCTGCAGAGCCCTTATGCAGCAGCATTTGAATTCGACTTTCAGTACTACACTCGGATTGGAAACCAAACCCAAATAAAGTGCAGTTTGCAGATTTTTACCAGGATAGTGGGCAAGTGAGAAAAGAATCTATAGAGATAACTCTATAGAAACAATAGAACTCTCCTTATTTCCCTCTCCAGGCACCCAATTTATGCCAATCCGGACTTTTTATTGTTGTTCTCATGGACATTCAGTATTTTAGCTCCTTAGCACTGTCCTTGCTTTGAATAGATTATGAAAAGCTGTATAGTTTTTGAGTGACTAATAAATCCCAATGCATGCCCCTTGATACTTTCACTGTTCTTTTCCTTTCCAACTTCTTAAAGATATTTACTGTGTACCTCATATGTAATGGAATTTTTTTAAATAATTGAAATAATTCATTAAAACTAAGAATTCACACTGATTTGTAATTATTGCTAAAACCATAGTAGTTAGTATTTATGATATTCAGAAAAATACTGCCAAACATGATTCATAAAAATCTGTATTAAAATGTGTTATATTTCACAATTGCCGTGAGTTGTATGTCTGTATGCTAAGATGTGCTTAACTGCTCCCATCTGGTTTATCCTCTTGATCATAGAAAAACTGCTCCAATTGAAATCATTGTTAATGCTCTTACAATTTTAAATAGCAGACTTCCAATGTTAATATAGCAAATGATTGGCTATATTAAAAAACAATTTAAAACTCCATCTGGAGTCCAAGCTCAGAATTATGATTCTTGTCCTCCCTCCAGCACAGCATGCACTCTGGATCCAACTTATCTGCCTTTGGCACAAATTTAGACACTTAGTGGGAAGTAAAAACATACTTCAGTTCCTAGGAAAATAAGAGGACATGAAGGTGGCTAAATTGAGGCAGTGTAACCAGTCAATCCGGGGAAACACAGTGCTTGTTAAGATGTTAATACTGGTTTAAAAAAAAAAAAAAATAAAGTCGGGAGGAGAGAGATTAAAAAAAAAAAAAGGAAAAGAAAGAAGCAAAATAAACTCTCTGAAGAGTGAAAAAAAAATTGCTACTGATTTATTCCCTTATTTCTCTCAATATTACTTGTGCTTTCTGAATGTTTTCAACATCAACCTTCTGTTTATTTACCTCAGAAGTTTTCACAAGCTCTCACTGTGTTCCACATGACTTTTTGCAGCCATTTTCAAGACTGCTTGAGTACAGCTTATATTAAAAGAATTTTAGTATCTCCAGAAAGTTCCAGCAAAAAGGAATAATGAAGTCATTATTATCTGTCATCCAAAACTATATCTGTTCCCTTGGCTCTCAGGAAAAACAAGACTTTACTTCCTCTTGCATACATGTCTGGGACAGTGAGAAGTACTGAAATACACATCTAAGAAATATTAACTTAACAAACTAATTAGTGGGGTAGCAGTATTTGGAGTTAGTAAGAGAAGTCATACGCTAAACAGGTGTGGATTTGAGTCCTAACTCAGTCAATTAATAATTCTGTGGCCTTGGGTAAGTGATTTATACTAAACATTCTGTTTATCTCAATAAGGTTGGTTTTTTGGGGGGGTTTTTTTGTTTTTTTTTTTTTTTTAAAGATTTTATGTCTTTAGTTATTTGAGAGAGAGAGAGAGAGAAAGAACATGGATGTGTGTGCACAAATGAGTCAGGGAAAGGGCAGAGGGAAAGAGAGAGAGAGAGATACTCAAGTAGACTTCATGCTGAGCACAGAGCCTGAGCAGGGGCTCCATCTCATGACCCTGAGATCATGACCTGAGTCGAAACCAAGAGTCGGACCCTCAACCAACTGAGTCACCCAGGTGGCCCACAATGAGTTGTTTTTAAGATGCAAGGAAACAAGGCTCAGGAGAGCAACTGGAATACTGTACATAATAAAACAGCTACTATTGATATTAGCATAATAAATGTAATAATACTTCAGAAAATAGTTTAATAGATAAAAAGATGGAATAGACTCCATATTAATCAAAACCCAAGTACCTTATTTATCTCTCATAATATGTAAAGAATAGTTAAAAGTGCAGAGGATTCAGTAGCAGTTAAGTTTCTTCTCTAAATCCTGCCATAATTTTGAGTGACCATGAGCAATTCTCTTAACCTCTCTGGGCTTATCTTAGATTTCTCACTTACAAAATGAATAACTTGAGTTCTTGTCCTGATGTTCAGAATTCACCTATCACTAACACTATGGCTAGAAATGCAAGGATAAAAGAAACAGGAGCCCCAGGTTACAGTTAACATGAGCCATTATTCTAAGCTCTCCTAGCATGGATCCTGTTTGCAGAGAAGTAAACTATAATGAATTAGGTAGTTCAGAACATGAGCCAAAATCAGTTAATTCCTTAAAACAGCTCATGATTTACCTGAACATTTTACCTAATAATTAGTCTTGCCCTTTCCCCTTCTGTAAAAACCACAGTAACAGCCTATCAAGCTCATTTTGAATGTACTTCTTCTGTGTATTCATTTTAAAACAAGACATACACATAGTGTGATAGAAATTCGTCCCAAGACTGCTATGTGGAGAAATAATTTGGTTTAGATTGACTCCTTATGTCCTTTCCCCAAGAATATTTATTTTTTTAAATCTTTATATGATTTCTATTAATAGCCACACTCTATTTAGAAAGAGGAAAAATCCTCAGAAAAACTACAAAATCATTTCAAATGTTTCAGCATTGTTCCAAACTACTATCAAATCATAGTTAACCATGAACACTTCATTTAACAGAAAGTAATTTTGTTTCTAAATATTTTCAATTTAGGGCACCTGGGTGGCTCAGTCAGTTAAGCAGCTGCCTTCTGCTCAGGTCATGATCTTGGGGTCCTGGCATGGAGCCCCCACATTGGGCTCTCTGCTCAGTGAGGAGTCTGCTTCTCCCTCTCCTTCTGTGCTCTCTCTTTCACTCTCATTCTCACTCTCTTACTCTTGCTCTATCTCAAGTAAATAAATAAAATCTTCAAATAAATATTTTCAATTTTATCTCTAGAGAAAACTGAGCTACAGCTGCTATTTGATCACTGGTTCCTATACAATCAATTTTAACAACAACAACAAAAGGCAGATTTTAAGTTTAAGAAATCATTAAGAGGAAAAGAAGTCTGTGAAAGATAATTTATAACCCGGTTTGTTTAAAATAATGCTGTATTTCACTTTACTAAACTTACACAGACCAAAAAGCATATATTAGTCTTAAGATAATCTGCTTTAATGGTTAAAATTAGACTTTTCCAGTTTATCTCTATAGACACTTCTTTATATATTTTTCTACACAATAACCATTCAACCTTTACTTAGAGTTCCTTTTTCTGGATTGCTAATTTCATGAACCACTGGCATCATTTAGCTTTGGAAAGTAATGATTAGTTTTTCTGTCATCTGCAGTATCAATCTTCAGGATGAAATAACTGTATATTTAAAAGCAAATAAAATAGTTAAGATAATTTCCATGAAATTGTCTCTGATGCTATTCATCCAAAGTTTCTTTAGAGGTATACTTAGTGGTCAGGGGTATACTAAGTAGCATTAATCAAACAGATTCATGACTATCTATATCAAGACCACTTTTGTTAGAAATGATCACTCTCCAGTTTTCTGACTCCACAGGAGCAACCAACAACCTCAAAGAAGTTATCAGATTCTAAGCACTGTCTATGATGAAGATTAATCTGAAGGCCATAAAAATAATGATAGTGGAAGAAAAAATACAACATGAGATCAAAATCTTTCTCAACATTTTAACATTCAGCGCTTCAGCAGGAGTTATGAAGGAAAACAGACAAGGTCAGATTTCTAAAACCAGATAAAGAGCTGATGGCTAACAGTTATTAGGGCTTTGTTTAACACTTTTTGTCTGACACTCTTTGTCTGACACTGTATTGCATGGATTATCTCATTTCTTGTTCCCAAAACCTCCCTATGAAACGAGTAGTATTATTTCCACATTTTACAAATGAGGCGATTGAAGGGTAGAGAGATTAAGCACCCTACCCAAATCAATGGGACTTAAAAAAATGGCAGATGGGATTTGAACCAAGTAACCAGAGCCTAAATAACACTTTCAACCTAAATCTCCCAAGAGGAAAAGAATATGACACACTAAGACATCAACACAGCTCATTATTATTTGTATTTAGATAGCCATACCAAGTCAAATATTGCCCTCAATATTTTGGGGCCCTTAATACTTTGAAAGATATTTTTGATCTTCCTTTTCCCCTGTAGAAAATGAACAACTCAGTATTTGGGAAAAACAAAACAAGCTGAATATATAGCAGAGAAATAGGAAATTGCACAACATATTTTCTTCGAAATAATTCTAGCAATTGTGTTAATATTTCTTTTTACCTCAGAAAAAGCTTAGTCATATACATACCACTACTGTTTTTTACCAGTCATCCCCAATTCTCACTTCTTTCCTACTCTTCAGGTCGCACATTCTCATGTATATCATGGCAGAGAGGATTATTTCCTAAGAAAATAAACTAAGGGTATATTTTAGGGTAAATTATTTTAGGGTAAATTTAAAAAGGGTATACCTATAACCAGGTATATCTCACTTCACATATAAAAGTTGAAGAGTGACTTCAGAGTTTCAGAAGTGGGTTACTGCCCTAATATTAGAAAAGGAAGAAGAAAAGAAAAGCTTCAACATTCTATCACTGACTTTAACTTCTTTCCCCACATGAATTTTGTCCCCATCATTAACTGAAGGGTTTTGTTTTTCAAGGGTTTTGTGGGCTCCACTTTCATGGATGAGGACAGCATCTTAATTTCTTTCGCTGAAAAAAAGTAATTTAAAACAATGACTTCAGGCACAACTTCAAAATGAGATTTTAAACAGTTTAAGAGCTTCTAGACCCAGATGACATCCAATTATGTCAAAGTAAAACTATGTGTTAGGGGTCTTACCTTATCACCTTGCATTCCAGGGGGCCCCATTAATCCAGAAAGGCCTTGATTCCCCTAAGAACAAAACACAAACGGAAGTTTAATGTTATGAAAAGGAAGTGAAAATTAGAATTCCCTTGCTACAGGATTTCATCTTGGACATCAAAACCTTACTGCATTCATTTCTGATCTTCGCAGTCCGCCTCAAGTTCCACCTCTTTTCTGAGTCCTTTTGAGACTTTTTCTGAGGCTCCTGGTATTTCTCTCTTCCCACGCTGAGTGCCACTGTACTTCCCCGCCTCCATACTCCTGCTCCTTTTTCCCTGATGCTCTTTTCTCTAGGAATGAAAAAAACTCCCCAAATTCCTATAGTTCCAAGGTTTATTGTGTTTTAAAAAAAAGTTTACCTAAAAATCCTACAAGCACTTCGTGCGGCAGCTGCGGAGGGCTGGCTGCCTCCTAGCAGGACTCCCACTAGGAACTGGGTTGCAGGGAGCGAGGGCTCGGCTCAGGAGGCACACCAGAGAAAGGGACACTTCCGCTTCCGGCTACACTGGTATTGGCTGCTGCACCTCTGGGGAGTAAATGCTGTGAAAATTTTGGGGGAGGACGCGTGTTTGGCTCCAGCAGATGGGACTTCACCTATTAGGGCGGTCCATCTTCCTGATCCTGCAGATTTGATGAGGGCCTCTGAGCCCATCTTAGGATAGGAGGGAGAAAGTGTACTCATGTGAGGGGGAAGGAGTGTCTGGCGGGTAGAAGTGACGGTGGGAAAAAACAGAGGAGGCTGTGTAAACTGACAAAGAGAAAACACCACAAAGGAATGGGAAGATAATCTTGAGGCACTTTGCTGCAAGTGGTTTTTCTTTACTTCCCTTCCCCTCCGTCTTTCTGCTGCAACAAATATATTGTGTATTGAAAAAAAAACAATGTTGTGAAAGAAAAAAAGGGTACTTAGGTAATAATCCTAAATAAACTAAGTGACTGCATTGTGTTTAACGTTTACTGCACTATGTACTTTACTATGTCATCAAATTAAATAATCAGAACAGAAAAGAATGTTTCTGATGATGAACAATCTAATACCTTTCCATTTGTACTAACTTCATTTTAATACTTCTTGACATTTTACTAAGATGGCTTCCATTTGTGATGGGATGACCATTTTATACAGATTTTTTTTTTTTTTATATTCATTACTCTGATGGGGGGAAAGAAAGCTGCACTAGGAAACAGGTTATTGGAGGCTTATCTCCTTCCACTAGGTCTAATCATGGGTGGATCACTTAGATTTCCTTTTAAAGTTCCTCCACCAGGAAAATGAGAATAATATCTCACTTGACTTATAGGAAAGGAAAAAAGAAACACACCATTTAGTGGTTATTTTTGTGTGCCACTGAGATCCCAAAATGGCTTAACACTTAAACATGCTCTATGAGAGACGTTCTTTAATACATGTTCCATGCTGGAGGACTAGACCCTGCACTTCTTTTGTGTTATCACTGACAATATATTTATTGTAAAAATGGCTAAGTGATTAAAAATAAAACATAACTGTTTCCCAAACCCCTCAACTCTCACCAATATGATGTTCATATTTTATTTGTATTCATAATGTATGTGTATAACTGATATCTTGCCTCCTCAGTTTGAACCTAATCTTAAATGTAAATACAATGTCCAAGAAATGTTTTTAAATTTTACTATTCTAAAAATACATCTCTCAATTTTAAGAGTTGGATTTCACTTAAAGCTCAATGGCAATATATTATTAAATCCTGTATCTTACTACCTTACTCCTATATAATATGAACCATAATTAGTATATGACTAACAAAAAGGGAAAAAAGACTGACATACTTCCAAGCCTCAATTCCAATGCTGAACCATCCTATATTTCATACAGATACTGTACACATACCAAGCCACCCTATATCTTGTACAGGAAAGTCACAAGTGAAGATAAAACCAAGCATTTGATATAAATGTGAAGGCTTAATTTGGGGGTTTAAAGAAGTCACCAAAACAGAATGGGCTTTAATTTTTAAATTTTAAGTAAGAAATCAAATGTTCTATATTTAGATTTTTAAAAGATGGCATTTTGTTTCTCAGATTACAGGATATTTTTCCCCACAATAACTAAGGGACCAATGAAAATAAATTTCTAATAAATTTCCATTCTCTTTCTAAATTATTTATATTCAGTGAACTCAGTTCCATCACAGGAATAAAATTCTCAAGATTCTAGATTAAAAATTTTTTTGAGGATTTACTTTTTGATGTAATACCTGTAAAGTTCATTAAGATGATTTTTTTTTTTAAGTTTACAAGAGTTTCTGTAAGCCAATTAAAAGATCAGATTTCAGGGGTGCCTGGGTGGCTCAGTGGGTTAAAGCCTCTGCCTTCAGCTCAGGTCATGATCTCAGGGTTCTGGGATCAAGCCCCACATAGGGCTCTCTGCTCAGCCGGGAGCTTGCTTCCCCCTCTCTCTCTGCCTGCTTCTTTGCTTACTTGTGATCTCTCTCTCTGTCAAATAAATAAATAAAAATATTAAAAAAAAAAAAAAAGATCAGATTTCAACCCAGGAGCCACCAAAATTACTCAGGGATTCTAAAAGTTTGTGAATGTATACCATACAAAGAAAAACATCCTATAATTGTATCACACTTGTCCAAATAGAGATTCCCAGATGTATTCCTAAAGACTCCAATTTTATTCAGACTCACTAGAAAACAGTATCCTCGTCTTAACAAAGATTTTGTTGCTAGTTTTATTCAAAATGTTAGTTTCTTTTTACCTAAATGTGAATGTGTATGTTTTACAGCATTACAATAAAGTGAAATGCATACTAGACTAAAAGTCAAACAAATACATCATTAACTTAACCACTTACTATCAATGAGTCATTTAAATTCTAAGAATTCTGTTTTCCTAACTGGAAAACAAGATAATAATGAGTGCTTCTCTCAATTATTCAGGATTTGAAATGATAACGTACATGGAACTAGTCTAAAAAAGGCACAAACGGCATTAGAATTTATGTATTATTGTGTGTATGCCTTTTAACAGCAAATTTTTGAGATTAGGGTCACATACTGCTCTAATGTTTCACCCCACCCATCCCTAAAGGGTAGGTAGCACAACGGTGGGCCACAGTAGACACTCAATAAAATAATGTGAATATTTTAATTAATATATTAAGCTGATGATATAATTTATTTTTCAAATATTTCTTCCTTCATTCAAGTTCTCTACCTTCTCTGTCTGATACATTCTCTAGTTTTCTATCTCCTCCATCTGATATCAAGTAAAATCTACATTTTAAAAAGGTAAAAATGAATTTTTAGTGCATGAAATATATTACCATGATTTTATTCCTTGGGCAACTAATTACCTTTTCTCCAGGTACAGCTTGACCAGGGGAAAATCCTGGATCTCCTTTGGGGCCCTAGGTAAAATAATTATAAAACACTTTGTGAAGCATAAATTATACACAGTATAATACACTTTTTCAATTGAATGCATTATAAAATGACATATATATTATATGGTATTAAAATTATTTTAAATTGAGATGGGCATGCATTATTTGCTTTTTTATTGTACATTTTTATTAGCCTCATTTTTAAATCCTGAGAAGACTGTCAGACATGGATGATTTTAAAAATCTAATAGTTATGCTACCATTGAAACATCTTTCCTTAAGGGACCTATATAAAGGCTCCATTAACATCCACTTTTGTGACATATTCAGTTATAACTCCTACTTTAGCATTGGAAAACTAGTCACTTTTAGTAAAAAAAATCTGCTTATAATTCTTAAAATTTTATGATACCATTCCAAGTTTAAATATTTTCCAAAATCTTGCAACGTACATACATTACTTTTATAATAAAAAATAAATCAGAAATACCTCTAATTGCCAAAATATATATAAAAATAGATACTTTTCCTACTTTGGGAATCTTATATTTTACATTTCAAGAGAAATATGACATTAGGTTTCAACGAAATTTTTTTGCACAATATTAATCTTTCTTACTATGCTTACTGGCAAAGGATCTCTTTTTCTATTTCCCATCTCATAAAATTAAGAGGCCACAATTCAGACTCTCTATAATTCTAATTATGATTTCATTACCATTCTCAACTAGTAATAATTTCCATTCCTAGAGAGTTCTAAATGCTATTTTCATTCTATGAGAAATAGTCATGAGTTCTTCCACAAATTCAGGGATGCTTTCAAATACCACTCAAACTGAAGAGAAGAGGGAAGACCAAAAGGAAAGTCTTTCCTGTTCTCCATTTTATGAGTCTTCCCATTTCACAAATTAGAAATAAATCCTCACTGGCTAAATGGCCTATATTCTTGAATCAAAGAAAATTTTTAAGGAAAGGTTGTTTTCCAGGTTGACCTCTCCCTTTCCATAGCTACCACAACTTCTATTATTAAGCCTACAATTTTAGGCCATTGATTACAAAATTATGGAACCTGAGAAAGAGCTTTAATGATATCTCAATATTTAAGAACTCAATCCATTCTCCAGAAAAAAAGTTAATATAGTTAGAATTTATAAGAGATATTACAGCTTATCTAGTAAAACACATTTTATAGACAGAGGGGCAATGAAGTTCAGAAATGTTAAATGACTTGATTAAAGTTGCTTAGAAAAGTACTGGCAAACTGGGTTAATTTTTTTTTCTCATGTCACAATGTCTATTAAATAAAAATCATACTTATTGGTTTTAATTTACAGTCTTTTATTATAAAACCTGACCAACTGATTTGAGGCAATATGTACAAAGAATTTTTAAAGAACTTAAGAAATGATAGCCCTTGAGAATTTTAAATATAATAAAATTCTTACATTTAAACTTTAAATATAATAAAATTTTTACTTATAAATATCACATTAAAAATTCTTATTTTTAGGTTCTTTCCAAATTTCCTATTATCTGTCTACTTTCTCTTATCAACTAATTTAACATTTCATCCTCATTAGAAAAAAAACTCTGAGAACATGGATAAAAGTAATCAATTGATCAATAAAAATCATATTTAAAGAAAGCTTTTTCTTATTCATAAGGCTTACGTATCTAGGCAACATATTTAAAGAAATACATGCTAAATCTCTTTTATTCCCACACAAATGTGCTTGAGTTTATTGATCAACTTGTTCTACAACCAATTCTAGTCTTCATGAAGGGAATGCTCTTAACTTGGCCAGTCGTGGGTTGGGATCCTCCTTAGTATAAAATGCATGAGCAGAGATTATTGAACATACCAATTTTACCTAATGTCAAAGAAGTAGGGTATATTTCTCTGCATTAAAAAAGACCCCAAAATTTCTTGCTTTCTTCCTCATTTTGTTTTAATTCTACGACTCCCAACACACTTTTAGTCGTACTTGATTGGTTTTTCAAATCCCTTTTCAAATCAAAAAATAAATATAATTGACTTTGACTTTCAATACGGACTTCTACATGACTTTTGTTAAAGGAGCTATATATCCTTTTGAGTGTAAGAGGAAAAGGAAATTGCCTACTCTTTATTACTCAAAGAATTCTCAAAGTCCCACCTATTCTACTATTCTGCTATAGTCTATATATGGATGATTTTATAAATAATTTTTCGGCACAGCTCTTTCAGACTATTATTGGGTCTCTGAGGGCCCTCTGTCTAGTGAGGAAAACTTCTTAAGTACTAGACCCATTAATATGTTAGAACAGATTTATCAGATTAGAGACCATTCAATATAATGGAAAGAACACTGGGACTTAGAGTGAAAACACTGAACAATCATTTAAGCTCTCTGAATTCGAGATTCCTCTTCTATAAAATGGAAATAAGAATAATAATATCTGCCTAGTTTAGCTTGTAAGATATAGGTAAAATTCTCTATAGAGTATATATATGTAAGTATTAAAAATATCAAGACCAGAGACAATCATTAAAATCTATTTTACAATTATTGCCATCTTAAAAAGCAGAGAATACAATTTGTGAATGAATCATTGATGAAACAGCAAAATTTAAACAAAAAGAATTTGGAATTAAGAATTCAAATATGGATGAGCTAAATTAGGAGAGTCCCATAAAAGAAACACTAAATGACATGATCTTGAGGTAACATCACTTGAATATTCCTCACTTTAACATTACAAATAACTATATGACCTCCATAATACTTGAAGCATAAAATTTGAAGCATTACATTCTCTAAGCAATACTTCCTATCTTTTTAGCTCACTCTCTAAGCAGCCACAACAATTATTTGACCTACTGCAACTGCTAATATGTGATCCCACCATATTTTCAGTGTCTCATCCCCATGTGGCCTAACTTCCATCCTTAAGCAGCCTAAACACCAAGGTCTGACATTATAATCACTTCCTTGCATACATAAGTGGCACCACTTTTTCTTTCTCCCTCTGTCTTACAAGCTTATCTAGAAATTCTTAAATCTAGAATCTAGACACCTCTTCTGTCCCATCCCCTAGTAGCTAAATGTGACTAAGAGAAAATAATCATGCTGACAAACCTCACTTTAAATTCATGACTTTTTACATTAATTGGTTTTGTTTTCTTTTGTTTTTGATATGTCTAATAATTATCTTAGTCAATTCACTTTTCCATTTTCATAGATAATTATTTCATAACTCTTGCTCTCCACTCTAAGTGGGTGATCTTGTTTTTAACATTTACAACTTGTCTCAACCAAATCCACAACCCACATAAATCTGTTCCAAAAATACTCTGCCTTCATTACCAAACCCACTATTCTCTCTCAATTATTTTCTCTCATAACTGATCCATTGTCTTCCCTACATTATTTTAATTTTTATTTCTTCCCAGGATAATTGATATCACCAAGTAAACACACTGTAATTCCTCCAATCTTAAAAAACAACTTTCTTTGAGCTACATCTCCCTTCTCTGCTCCATTACACTATTTTGAAAGCAAAACTCCTGTACTAATGAGGAGACTTCTTCCATTCTCTCTTGGACTTAACCCACTCAGGCTATTGTCCTTACCCTACCTCATTGTCATTCTTTCTCAGTCTCCTTTGCTAGTTCCTCTTCTTCGTCCTAATATACTAAACTCTGGGATACTCAAAGATTTGGTCTTTGGAAAATTCTCTGTCTATATACATCCATAGGTCAAAATACATAAAACAATTATTTGAATGCATAGGAGAACAATCAAAAAGCAGGACACACTGGAGGGGATTCAAGAAAAGAACCGCACTTGGTACAGTACACAATTATACAACTTTTCTTCCTCTTCTTCTTCTTCTTCTGGAGATTTTATTTATTTACTTATTTGAGAGAGAGAGAATGAGAACAAGTGAGCGTGAGAAGGGGAAGGTCAGATGGAGAAGGAGACCCCTTGCTAAGGAGGGAGCCTGATGTGGGACTTGATCCTGGGACTCCAGGATCATGACCTGAGCTGAAGGCAGTCACTCAACCAACTGAGCTACCTTACAACTTTTCTTCTAAGGACCCTCCACAGTCTGCATGGAATGACTAGAATTCAAGCAGAAAACCGTAGATGTTTTGGCTAATAGTGTCAGAGGACAGAGTGTGAGACTACCTGAATAACTGTAAGTTGAGATGGGAAATCCTAGAGAAAAAAGAAAAGAACAGATGAAAAGAAATGAAAAAAGAAAGAGGACAGCTTCCCCCCAAAATCTAGATAAAGACTCTCTTCAATTCTTGGCTGATCCTAAATGTGGTTGCATGAGATGGATTCTGGAGTTCACCAAAAAGCAACAACCAGAAGGCTAAAATAATTGAATATAAATTTTAGCTGCTGGCTGCAGGGGAAATAATTTGGGATTTGAGTCACATCACTTTAAGGGACATGGTAAATGCCTTGGTAATCACCTTTCCATTGAAATTCAGGAAGGGCTATACTTTAGAAGCAAGCATTATATGCTTGGACTAACACTAACACTATAAGCAAAACTAAAACAAATCTGTCCCTTAAAAAAGTTGCCAAAACCTATACAAGTTTAAGATGATGAGCCAGTTATTTAATTGTTATTTAATTAATAATTTAAATAATTGTTATAATTGTTTATAAATTATTACAATTATTTATAATAATTTAAGCAATTATTATAAACAATTATTTAAATAATTGTTTAAATTATTAACTAAAATAAATAATTTAAGTTATTTAATTGTTGAACAAAAAAAAATCAGCCATTATCAAAGGATTTCAGAGAAAGCTAACAGAATCTAAAGTTCTTCCACATATTAAACATAATATGCAATACATAATCAAATGTTTCTAGGCATACAAAGAAAAGCAAGATCTGACCTGCATTAAAGAGAAAAGTGGTCAATACAAACAGACCTCAAAAGGATCCATATACTGGAATTAACAGCAGAGGATTTTAAATTGACTATAATAAATATATTTAAAGATGTAAGGTAAATG